ATATATATATATATATATATATGTATATATATATATATATAATATTCTAACATGTATATAAGATTATACAATATATGATTTAAACTCGAATTAATAATTAGCTTATGTTAGAATTTTGTTCTTGAATTTAATAAAGATATATTGCCTTTAAGAAAATGAATTTAATTTGTTATATTTTTATTATATTTGTTTTGTTTAATGTAATTAATAAAATAAATTTAAGGGATTTATTAACAAAACGTGCAAATTTAAGATCAGATCTCTAGGAAAAATATTCGTGTGGACAAAGTGATATATATATTTTATTGCAAATAATAAAATATTGTATGATAGATAATATGGTGAAGATAGTGATGATAGTGATTTATCAGCAGGTAAGATTTAATATATTAATTTTAATATAATAAAAAACTACTGAATATTTTTTTTAACTTCCCGTAGGGTAAGTTATAGTAATCGTCCAAAAATCGGAATTGAAAATTTTTACATTTCTCGACGTTTTGAAGGTTTCTGAACATTTTGGCATACTTCAGAAAAAATGGATGTGTGTGTGTGTGTGTGTGTGTGTGTGTGTGTGTGTGTGTTTTGTATGTCCGCGTTTTTTCGTCCACGTTTTCGGGCGCACGGATCAACCGATTTGAATGGTTTAAAAAACATTCGATTCCTATTGATAGGGAGATGTGCTGATTAGTTTTTGGTAAAGGCAGGTCCAGCCGTTACGGAGATATGGAGCAAAGAGTGCAAAAAATAGAAAGCGAATTTTTGAGAGAACGGATCAACCGATTTGAATGGTTTAAAAAACATTCGATTCCTATTGATAAGGAGATGTGCTGATTAGTTTTTGGCAAAGGTAGGCCCAGAGGTTTCGGAGTTACAGAGCTAAATTTTAAAAAATGGCTGTTTTTGAGAGAACTAAGCGTCCGATTTAAATGATTCAAAGAACTTTCTGCTTTTTTCAACAAAACAATTGATTTTGGAAAAAAAAATTTTTTGTTTCTAATTTTTTTTCAAAAAAATTTTTTTGTAATTTTGGACTAAAAATTCAAAAAATCACCCAAGCTAGGAACAGTCTAAGCGCCACTCTGGTACAAATGTTTACCCAAGTGCGTTTAGACTGTTTGTGTACTGGAGCACTTTTCCAATTTTGTGAAAATTATTGAAAAATGTGAAAATGCCGCCAAGCTGAGCACAGTATAAGTGAAAATGTCGCACAGAATTATTTGCAAATGCGTTTAGACTGTGACTATGCCGGAGCACTTTTTCAGTTTTGTGTAAATTTGGCAACTATTTTTTTTTTGAAATTGAATTTGAAATGAAATGACGATTGTTAATGTTCTGGAGATGATAAATTGATTTATTTATAATTAACTTTCCATAGGGTAAGTAATCGAAAAAAAATCGAAAATGAAAATTTTTATATATCTTCACGTTTCAGAGGTTTCTGAATATGTTGGCATACCTTGGAGAAAATTGATGCATGTGTGTGTGTGTGTGCGTGCATGTGTGTGTGTTCGGATACAAATTTTCGTCGACGATTTCGGGAACACGGATGAAGCAATTTGAATAATTCAAAAAACATTCTAGCCGTTCCGGAGATACGGGGCAAAAAGTGCCAAAAACGGTAACTCAATTTTTAAGAGCACGGAGCGTCCGATTTGTATAGTTCAAAAAACATTTTACTTGTATTAACAGGATGAAGATTTGATCAAATTTTCATGAAGATAGGTCTAGCGGTTTTGGAGATCTAGTAAAAAAAACTAAAAAAAAATAACATTTGGCGGTCAACAATAATCATTAGACATTAGACATATGCATATCAAATTATCAGATATTTTATTGAGATTTTAACAATAAGTTTAAGTTTTGTTTACATTCCTATGGGTTCCGTAATATTGTTTTTCCGTTAGACAGCGACGCGGCGCTTACGCGCTTCTATATTTAGGCTCTATGCAGTTAAAGCAGTACGATTGCTTTGAAAAAAAGTTCAGATCTTCCAAAATATATCAAAATGAAGATAACATTTTTTCCAAAAAAAAAATTTTATAAAAAAAATTGTTTAAAAATTTTTTTTAAAAAAAAAATTTTTTTTCAAAAAAAAGTAATTTTTTCTCCGATTTAAAATTTCTAAAAAATCTTATTTTTTCGAAGTGAAATTTTTTCAAAAATGTTAATCGTTTTTAAAAAAATAATAATTTTTGGCACGGGAAGTTCCAGCAACTTGCCTTAAGGCACGATGCCTTAATTGCCTTAAGACAGAATTCCACTTACAGCTAGTTTTTTTTTACGATAATAAGGCCATTCCTTTGGCCAGATGGTGGACTCTATATAACTTGAATTAAGAGCATTTAGTACATAAATCAATCAATTCGTAAAAAATAATTTTAATTTTTTATTTATACGTTTCGTCTCTTAATATGCGTCATCATATTTGAATTTGAAAATTTGCCAAAAATTTTGGATTGGTTTGTCTGATGTATGTTTTCTGCAAAGTGAATAATTGAAAATTGTATTATTGTTAGTCCATCAAGTAGGATACAAATCTACATGATGATCTAATCAAATTTAAAATCGGTTCAGAAGTTTAGGAAAACATTGTTCCGGACGAACATCGTGACATGTTTCGAAATTTTCATTTTCGTTTTTTAAATTCTTTATTTATACGTTTCGTCACTCAATATGCGCCATCATATTTGAATTTACCGATTCAATTTACTGTTTCACATGTTATTAGATAATTTGCCAAAAATATTTGGTTTGATCTGATTTGTCTAATGTATTTTTTTTGTAAATCTGTGATAAATAGAAAATTAAGACTAATAATATCATATTTCAAGAATGAATTAAGACTTGTATCATTGTTAATCCACCAAGTTGGATATAAATCCATACGATAATCCAATTTAATTTAAAAGCAAACAATCATCGTAGCATGTTCTTTGTTTTAGGTGAGTATAAAATTAATTTATATATATATATATATATATATATATATATCTCATAGATGTATCATTGAGCAATTTTTAAATCCTAATGAATATTTTGAAATAATTCATAATTTCAAATAATGTTTATTGCAGCACGTTGCATGTGCGTGACATTACGACGGTATCATTGAAGGCCAAGGATTTACCATTCTCGATTTTTTTTAAACACATTCAACAAAATTTGAATATGATATCAAAGTAACTTGGACTCTTTTTTAAACATTTTTTAATCGATATCAAGTTATACACTAATATCAAGTTGAAACCATGGAGTACACTTAAATTTGTTAAAATATCATAAAATAACCTAAATTTGTTAAATAAAATAATTATATTGTAATAGTATTGTAAAGATTAATAAAATGCTTATTAAATTTAAAAAAAAATCTTGCAACAAACAAACTAGTTATATTTAAAAATAATTAAAATGAACTAAATATAAATAAGTTTATAGTAAATAAATTAAATAATAAGTAAATAAGTAATAAAATAGCTAATAATTAATTAAATTAGTATTAAACCTATAAAATATCGACTTAAGCCTTATTATAATATTATTATACCGACGGCTTGTAAAATAAATAAATAAAAATATCTACATTTTTTCACTCGAATATGATATCAAGTTAAAACCATGTTTTTTAGCTTAGGGTAAGTTATTATAAACGTCCAAAAATCGAAAATGAAAATTTTTGCATTTTTTAAAGTTTCAGAGATTTCTGAACATTTTGGCATACCTTAGAAAAAATGAATGTGTGTTGTGTATGTCCGCAATTTTTCGTCTACGTTTTCGGGCGCACGGATCAACCGATTTGAAGATTAAAAAAACAATGGATTTCTATTGATAAAGAGATGTGCTGACTAGTTTTTGGCAAAGACAGGTCCAGCCGTTACGGAGATACAGAGCAAAATGTGCAGAAAATATAAATCGAGTTTTTGAGAGAACGGAGCATCTGATTTGAATGATCTAAACAACATTCAATTTGTAATGATTGGGAGAAAAGGTGATTAGATTTTAGCAAAGGTAGGTCCAACCGTTTTGGAGATACGGAGCTAAATGTACAAGAAATGGCAGTTGTTGAGAGAAATAAGCATCCGATTTGAATGATTCAAAGAAATTTCTGCTTGTTTTAACAAAATAATTGCTTCAAAAAAATTCATTTCAATTTTTCTTTCTTTTGTATATCGAAAATATGAATTATTTTCAATTTTAATTCTGGTTAAAGTTCTAAAGTTCACTTATAGTTTAAGTGAATAATTTTAACTTTGCTATTCAGTTTATATAATTCTTATAAATATTAGACAATGTTACAATATTTATAACAATCTTAAATATTCCTCGAATATTAATAATTCCTCGAATAAGTATAAATTTTGTTTACATTCCTATGGGTTCCGTACCAATAATAATACGTACCGTACCGTACCGATAATATTAAATATTCCTCGAATAAGTATAAATTTTGTTTACATTCCTATGGGTTCCGTACCAATGTTTATCCGTTAGACGGCGGCGCGGCGCTTACGCGCTTCGATATTTCGTTTTTATGCAGTTAAAGCAGTACGATTGCTTTGAAAAAAAGTTCAGAATTTCCAAAATATTTCAAAATACACTTTTCTTCAAAAAGCCTTTTTTTCAAAAAAATTTGGTCAAAAATTTATAGTTTCTCAAAAATCTAATTTTTCAGAGTAATTTTTTTTCAAAAATGTTAATTTAAAAAAAAAAAAAAAAATGGTACGGGAAGTTCCAAGTTAAATTATTTTTTTGAATAAAATTTTGAATTTTAATAAATTCCATGAGCTTCAATGGAATGGCGTCAGCGCCACGACCATACATCACATTGTCAAACAAACTTTTCATACATTATTGCAAATAATTATCTAAACCATACATCAATTAACAAAATAAATACTACAAGAACACTAAAAATAATTTAAACAACTCTTAAATATATTTATATAAATAAATATTTAGCGTTTATAGTATCCATCTTCAATTATTTATCTGTGTAGTGTCTGCTCTATCCTATGGCGTGTTTTCGTTGTACAACAAGCAAGGTCCGAACTCCGGCCATTTTGTAATAACACAAAGTCTCCTTTAATATTTGTCAATTTTCAATCGGTGTTTTCAATGTGAAGATCAAGTGGAAAAGTTTCGGTAAAAATGCAAGAAAATCAATCAATCGATTACGATTTGGATAAAGTGTGCAGATCTTGTCTATCCGAAGATGGAGATATGAAAAATATGTTTGAATATGAAGAGACTGAAACCACAAATAATATTAATGAAATGATGATGGCTTGTGCCCAAGTACAGGTTTGTGGATGGATTTGAATTATTTGTAATAAATGAGTTTTAGGTACGAAATCATATGGAAAATATGGTGATATTGAGAAAGTAGTTGGATTTGGTGGTAAATATGAGGAAATTGCAACATTATGCTTGCTTTTGAGTTTGTTTGCAAAAGTATAAACACAATTTTGTTTGGAGGAAAAATACATATAACAAGTGCTAAGTGTATTATTTTAGATTTATCAACGTAGCTAAATGGTTTAGGTTTGTTTAAACAATGTTTTGAGGACAATTTGAATATTTATTGGCAAATGTCAAACAAAAATTTGAGGTTCTGTACTAAATTATACACAAAATGAAATTACTAGATTCAGTTCAATTATTCCTTAATTTACAATATATTTTCTTTTTTATTAAAATAATTCTTTATTAATTATAGTAATTACTTGATTAATAAGTATTAAAATTTTCGACATTTTATACAATGTATACTCGAGCAAACTGAAACAAATTTAATGACAGTGATTTCATAATTTTATTGTGAAGAGTTTAAAAAGTTTAATTTAATATTTACAAACATAGTTTTATCGTTTAAAAACTATTTTATAGACTATTTTGATATTAATTATCAAATGTCAAACAAAAATTTGAGGTTCTGATCTGAAAATTGAGAATTATAGATTCAATCAATGTATTTCTTTCTTTAACAAACAGTTCCTTAATAATTTAAGTAATTCTTTTGCTAATATATTAAATAATATTATATTTATCATTTTTGCTAGCAATTTTTATACCCAGTTCAAATAAATATTTAAAAAATCAACCACAATAGTTAATTTTGAATCGAATCGAGAAACTAATGTAAACTCTTTGTTTTGAAATGTGTTTTTCAAAAAATTCATTTAAAAAGTACCTTATTATATTATTTTTGAGTTACAAGAGTAGTCAAATTGTTTATTTTTGTTTAAACAATGTTTTGAAGACAGTTTTGATATTTATTGTCAAATGTCAAACAAAAGTTTGAGGTTCTGTTATGAAAATTGACAATGATAGACTCAATTGGCTTATTTCTTTATTTAACAAGTATTTTTTTCATTATTAAAGTAATTCCTTTAATTAATCTTTTATTAGAGCTTTATATTTATTACTTTGATTTTACATTTCTAATGAATGCGATAAAAATGAATACTGGGTGCAAATTTTTAATACAGAGTTTTTAATTGTGAAACAAATTTAAGGGATATGATTTAACTACTTAGTTTATTTAAAAAAATACCTTTAAAAAGTGCTATATATTATTATTATTTAATTGTCAAAGTATCTAAACTATTTATTTTTGTTCAAGAACTATTTTGATATTTATTGTCATATGTCAAACAAAAATTTGAGGTTTGAATTGACTTACATATTTCTTTATTTTAAGTAATTTTTTTCGCTAATATATTAGATAACATTTATATTGATCACTTTTGCTAGCAATTTTTTACCCAGTTCAAATAAATATTATGAAAATCTACCACAATAGTTAATTTTGCATCGAATCGAGAAACTAATGTAAGGAGTTTGCTTCAATAATTTTATTTATGATTATTTGCTTTTAAAAATACATTTTAAAAGTGCTATATCAAGTTATTGATTAATTATCAATGTAACAAAGCTTATGTTTATCTAAACAATATTATGAAGACAGTTTTGATATTTACCACATGAATTCAAAATAAAGGTTCTGTATTAAATTTACATTTATTGAAGTAATTCCTTGATGAATGTATTATAAAATCTATATATTCATAAATTTTAGTATCAACTTTTCCTACATTTTTATTAAATGTGTAAAATGAATACTCGGTGTAAATTTTCAATACAAACAAATTTTTTTAACCATGAAACAAATTTAAGGGGTGTGATTTGATAACTCAGTTGTTTATTTTAAAAAACTCTTTTAAAAAGTGCTCTATATTATTATTATTTAATTATCAGAGTATCTAAGTTATTTATTTTTGTTTAAAAACTATTTTGAAGACGATTTTGATATTTATTGTCAAAAATTTGAGGTTTTGTACTAAGTTTTACCAAAAAGTGAGAATTATAGTTTCAATTCACTTATTTGTTAATTATTAGATTACTCATTGTTTCATATATTATAAAATGTTCATATTTATTTGTTTCGATGTAAATTTTTTATGCATTTCTAATAAATGTGATTAAAATATATACTTTTGGTAGCAATCTTACAATTCAAACAATTTTTTTACTGTGAAACAAATTCAGAGACTGTGATTTAATAATTTTTTTTATTAAAAAAATACTTTTAAATGATGATATATTATAATATTGTTCAATTATAAACATAATTTTGGTATAAATACCATTTTAAAGGAGATTTGGATATTTTTTGTCAAATTTCCAATATTTGTTCTTTTTGTTTAACATTTAAATCCTCATTATAGCAATCTTGTAATTTTACATATATCTTTTTTATACATTTGTAATAAATAGCACAAAAATGAATACAAGATAGTGGAATTTGAATCAAACTAGATTTAATCAAAAAACTATTTTAAGATTTATATTAATTCATTTATTCAACATATTTCTGAACATAATCAATGATTCCTTGGTTATTAAATTAATATTCATACATTTATAATTTTAAACATCAATTTTATATAAATTTGCAATGGATGTTGTAAAAATCAATACAAACCAGTAAATTTTAAATTCAACAAAATTTTTAAAATAGAAACTATTTTAAAACAAGAGTTTTTATCGATTTTATGAATTTAGTGATTCAAATACATTTATATTTATATTTTGGATACAGGATTGCATTTAGTAATTACAGAAAACAAATAATCTTATCTTATTAACAAATTATCTTAGATTAAATACAATACTAAAACAATATTAATCCTAACATTAGTATTATGTAAATGCAATAACTTGAAGAAAAAATGTTATGATATTGAGATCGTTTATTTAAAAGATGAGATTGTAGATCTTGATATTCTTCTGATGGTAATAAAAATCCTTTAAATATCCTTTATGCAAAGAATATAGTATGAAAACAATTGTAATGATAAAATACTTAGTGTAGGAAAATGTTAAAATATTTTGGAATAAAAATTAGAAAAAATATGGAAAAGGAATAAAATAATTGTAACTGTTGAAAAAAAAAGTCATATCAGGAGTAGGCATTTCATTATCAAAATATAGTTTGATATCGAAATTGGCAAATTCGGAAATATCGTAGAAACTTTGGGCTTTTTTAGTTTTAGGCAAACGCAGGTCCAGCCGTTTTGAAGATACAGAGCTAAATGTGCAAAAAATGGCAGTTTTTGAGAGAACTAAGCATCCGATTTAAATGATTCAAAGAACTTTCTGCTTGTTTTAACAAAATAATTGCTTTAAAACAATTTTGTTTCAGTATTTTTTTTTTCAAAGAATTTTTTCTTTTGCATATCGAAAATAATTCAGATTTTACTTTTAATTCTGACTATAGTTCTAATATAACTTAAACAAACAATTTCAACTTTGCAATTCAGTTTATATAATTCTTATAAATATTGGACAATGTAACAATATTTATAATAATCTATTTGAAAACATTCAGTATTCCTCGAACATTTCGTTACGGTACGGGAAGTTCCAGCAATTTGCCCTAAGGCACTAGTAAAATTTTTATTTTACCCAGGTCATCGAAAACGACGGAATGCCTTCGAAGATCTGCACCCAATGCATAACCCAACTCAACAGTTCTTTCACCTTCAAACAAAGATGTGAGCGAAGCGATGCAACCTTGAGAGACTACATCACCCGGAAGCACCCCAACATAAAACTGGCACCAGTTGTCAAACAAGAACTATACGGTGATGACTTCCATTTACCCATCAAACCCGAGATCACAATCGTCGAGAGCGATCCACTGACTGAAAACTTCTACGAAGGTGGAGACAATAATTTTGATAATGATTCTGACGGAGAGATTATTCTGAACCATAAGAGGTCGAAGAGGACCAGGAGAGGAAAAGGTGAGGTAATTGATTGATTTGTGATTGATTTATATTTACTGGTGTGTTTTTTGTTATGTTTTAGATAATACTTTTAGCAATGTTAAGTTGAACAAAACCAAATTGAGTCCTTTCGAATGTGATTATTGTGATAAAATACTTGTAGATGCTAAAGGCTTGACTTTGCATACTCGTCTGCACACTGGAGAGCATTTGAAACATTGCGGGATATGCAACAGAGGTAAGAATTAATTATAAAAAAAATAATTTTTTAACAAATTATAAGCGGCGCGGGTACAAATACCCGCAGGTTTGAATGTTACTAACTTTAAAATCAGTTTATTTATAATATTGAAACAGTTAGGGGGCGTCCATTAATCACGTAAGTTTTTTAGGGGGGGGGGGGTTGACAAAAAAATCACGAAATATTACATGGGGGAGGGGTGTATGGAAAGATATCAAGTGTATTTATTTTTTAACTGATTTTTTTAGAGGTAAGAATTATATAAGAAAATAAATTTAACAAATCATACGCGGGGCGGGTAAAAATACCCGCTGTTTTGAATGTTACTAATTTTAAAATCCGTTTACTTATAATATTGAAACAGTTAGGGGGCGTCCATTAATCACGTGAGGTTTTTAGGGGGGGGGGGTCGACAAAAAATCACGAAATATCATATGGGGGAGGGGGGTATGGTAAGATATCAAGTGTATTTATTTTTTAACTGATTTTTTTAGAGGTAAGAATTATATAAGAAAATAAATTTAACAAATCATACGCGGGGCGGGTAAAAATACCCGCTGTTTTGAATGTTACTAACTTTAAAATCCGTTTACTTATAATATTGAAACAGTTAGGGGGCGTCTATTAATCACGTGAGGTTTTTAGGGGGGGGGGGTTGACAAAAAATCACGAAATATCATATGGGCGAGGGGGGTATGGTAAGATATCACGTGTATTTATTTTTTAACTGATTTTTTTAAAAAAAATACAAACATTTTCAAAAAAAGATATAAAAATGTATGTTTTTTCACGTAACTAAAAATACATGTGATGTTTGGTGGGGGAGGGGGGTAATTTTGAATATCACCACGTATCACCAAGGGGGAGGAGGGGCCCAAAAATCCTTAAAAAAACTGGCTCACGTGATTAATGGACGCCCCTTTAGCTTTTGTTTAGATTCAATTGATTTAGTTTTTCGTCATTTATTTTAGTGTTTTGATAATTAGCAGTATGTGAATTCAGGACATTTTTTTACATTTCTTCAAACGACATAAAATTTTTATTTTGGACATTATTAACTTCCCGTAGGGTAAGTTATAGTAATCGCAAAAAAATCGAGAATGAAAATTTTTATATATCTTTACGTTTCAGAGGTTTCTGAACATTTTGGCATACCTTAGAAAAAATGGATGTATGCGTGTGGGTGTGTGTGTGTGTGTGCGTGTGTGTGTGTATGTATGTATGTACGTGTGTGTATGTATGTGCGGATACAAATTTTCGTCGACGATTTCGGGAACACGGATCAACCGATTTGAATAATTCAAAAAACATTCGATTCGTATTGATAAGGAGACGTGCTGATTAGTTTTTGGCAAAGGCAGGTCCAGCCGTTCCAAAGATACGGGGCAAAAAGTGCCGAAAACGGTAACTCAGTTTTTAAGAGAACGGAGCGTCCGATTTTAATAATTCAAAAAACATTTTACTTGTATTGACAAGGTGAAGAACCGATCAAATTTTCATAAAGGCAGGTTTAGCGGTTTCGGAGATCTAATGAAAAAAGAAAAAAAAATGCCATTTGGTGGTCAAAAATGATCATTAGTTTTATGCACATCAAACTATCAGATATTTTATAGAGATTTTAACAATAAGAATGAATTTGGTTTACAGTCCTATGGGTTCCGTACCAATGTTTACGCATTAACGGCGACGCGGCGCTTACGCGCTTTGATATTTCGTCTTTATGCAATTAAAGCAGTACGATTGCTTTGAAAAAAAGTTTAGATCTTCCAAAATATGTCAAAATAAAGAAAACATTTTTTTTTTCAAAAAAAAAATTAATTTTTTTTTTCAAAAAAAAGTAATTTTTGGTCCAATTTATAGTTTCTCAAAAATCTTATTTTTTCGAAGTAAAATTTTTTCAAAAATGTTAATCGTTTTTAAAAAATAATTTTTGGTACGGGAAGTTCCAGCAATTTGCCTTAAGGCACGATGCCTTAATTGCCTTAAGACAGAATTCCACTTACAGCTAGTAATTTCTTTATTTTATTAAAAACTAGATAAAATTTACTAAAATCTAGTAAAAACTTTTATATATACTTACGTAATGAAACATGCTGGAACATGCTATTAACTGGTGATGTATTCAGCAATATGTGAATTTTAGTCATTTTTTTACTTTTCTTTGAATATCTTGGAAATTTCGTTCTGGACATTATCGTTCATGGACTAGTTTAGTAAAAACTAGATAAAATTTCCTCAAATCTAGTAAAAAATGTTATATACACTTGGATATTGAAAATTTGGATAATTTGTAGTAGGAATGCGGGCTTTTGTATTTTAACAGTTTGCATTAAATGGATTAGGACATTTTTTTTTTACTTTTCTTCAAATAACTTTTAATTTTTTCCGAATATTATAATTTGTTTACATTAGTAAAAACTAGATAAAATTTACTAAAATCTAGTAAAAAATGTTATATACACTTGGATACTGAAAATTTGAATAATTTGTAGTAGAAATACGGGCTTTAGCATTTTAACAGTTTGCATTATATGGATTAGTACATGTTTTCACTTTTCTTCAAATAACTTTTAATTTTCATTCTGGACATTATAAAGTGTTTGCATTAATAAAAACTAGATAAAATCTACTCAAATCTAGTAAAAACTGTTTTATATACTTGGATATTGAAATTTTGAAAAAATTGTAGTTGAAATGCAGACTTTAATGTAATATAAGGGCTTAGGACATATGTTACTTTTTTAAAAAATAACTTTTATTTTTTTTTTCCTGGACATTATAATGTGTGTATATTAACAAAAACTAGATAAAATTTACTAAGATCTAGTAAAAACTGTTTTATACATCTATATATTGAAATTTTGACTAATTTACACTTGAATTGTGGGCTTTATTATTTCAACAGTTTGCATTATATGGATTCAGGACATTTTTTTTTACTTTTTTTCAAATAACTTTTAATTTTCATTTCGGACATTATAATTTGTATACATTAATAAAAACTAGATAAAATTTACTACAATCTAGTAAAAACTGTTTTATACACTTGGATATTGAAATTTTAGATAAAATGGAGTTGTGATAACATTAAAAAGACACTTTTATATTTCGACTGTAATGTACAAATTTGTTTTATTTTATTTGCATATATTTTTCTTAATTCTTTCTTTATAATTATATTCTTTTCCTTTTCATTAAATTAAAGATGTATAATTAAAATTTACTATTGTTTATATTCAATAGTAGTTATGCTTATATAAGCATAGCTAGCCTGTTTAGCTATTTAATAATATATTTATTATTTTTATCCTTTTCAGGTTTTGCAAAAATGTCACACCTCAACCGACACATAACAACAATGCATGCAGATGACACGATGGAAGTTAGTGATTCGAAAGAAATAAAAGAAGAACCCGACGAACAGAGTAGTAGTACCACTGCCAATATCGAGGAAGAAGCACCAGAAGAAGCGATAACAGAGCCTGTTGTAGAAGAACCTAAGAAAAGTAGCGTCAAGAAAAAGTATAAATGCCAATTTTGTACGGAAAGCTTTGATGAAAGGAACCAACTCAGTTTACATATTGTATCGCACAAGGAAAGCCCCAGGTAATAATAATAATAATAATAATATATATTTATATATATATATATATATATATATATATATATAAATCTCGTGTCACGATGTCGGTTTGCGATGGACGCCCAAACTACTGAACCGATTTTGAATTTTATTGGCTCATCGTGTGCATATATATTCAACTTAGGTTATAGGAAATTTTGAAGAGTAAATTTAAAATATAAATATATAATTTTTATAAATTTCTAAAAATTTTGACAGAAAATGGCCAAAAAAACAAAACACTAAAATAACAAATGTCAAAATTTATGGAAAATTCGAGAAAAAAAGATTTATGATTTTTGAAAAAAAAAATTTGATAGTTCAAAAAATATAATTCAAAAACATGTACATATATAGATATATCCAACATTTATATCCAAATTAGATGAAATGCTATATTCAAAATCACAATTTATAGTTTTAAATCTAATTAAAAGTCAATGTTTATAAATTTAAATAGATATTATTGATACAAAACATTATTGTAAAATAAATACTATCATTTTCGACCAAAAAGGAAATATTTTGACATTTATAAATTTAGTGCATATTGCATATATGAAATTGACATTAACTATTTAAGTTAAATGCAAAAGTAAAAAATCTGATATTTATATAAAAAATTGTATATTTAGATAATGATACTGCGTTGATTTAGACTAATCCATGATGCGAGTGAAATAATTTTGGAAGTATGAAATGTCAAATAATTTTGAAAATTATAACAAGTTTTTAACTATTTGTCAGAAAGAATATATTTTATTACAAATTTATATCCATATCAAGCACCAAAGTAATAAATAATACTTATTAAATGACATATTATTTATAGACAATATTTAATGCATATTTTAATTATATTTTTTGACATTTGCTAATTCAAAATAAATTAAAAATAATTGAAAACAATGTCATAAATCGGATATTTATGGAAAAATATCAAATAAATATATTTAAGTTTTTCACTTGATTTCAAATAAAAAAAAAACTAATTGCTATGCCAAAATAGATAGTATATTCATCTAAAATTATAGTCTAAATATTACAATTTTGATAAATAATCATTCATTATTTTACAGTACGAATATTGATAAAAAATTAATAAAAGTGCCAAAAATCAAACATTTTATAGATTTGGATTTTATCGAATTTCTCAGAACTTCATCCATGTTAGTTTCTGGGATAGTAGAATATCAATTTATTGTCGAAAATTTATATGATAAGTCATTAAAACATTATAGATCACAATAAAAAAGTGACATATTGAATTTAACATTAATCATAAACGAAATATTGATAGTTCAAAAAAATGAATTTTTAACGACTTCAATAAGATACACAATCAAATAGACAATCAAATTATAGATATAAATTATATCATAATATAATAAATTTCGACCAAAAAGGAAATATTTTGGCATTTAAAAATTTAGTGCATATTGGATATATGAAATTGACATTCAATATTTTTAAATTAAATGCAAAAGTAAAAAATCTGATATTTATATAAAGTATTATATATTCAGATAATGGTACTGCGTTGATTCAGACTAAAATCTAATTTATTCATTGATTTAAAAAAAATATTTCACTATTTGACATAAATAAAATTAAAACTAGCTGTAAGTGGAATTCTGTCTTTAGGCAATTAAGACATCGTGCCTTAAGGCAAATTGCTGGAACTTCCCGTGCCAAAAATTATTATTTTTTTAAAAAACGATTACCATTTTTGAAAAAAATTTACTTTGAAAAAATAAGATTTTTGAGTAACTATAAATTGGACAAAAAATTACTTTTTTTTTGTGGAAGATCTGAACTTTTTTTTCAAAGCAATCGTACTGCTTTAACTGCATAGGGACAAAATAGAAAGCGCGTAAGCGCCGCGTCGCTGTCTAACGCATAAGCATTGGTACGGAACCCATAGGAATGTTAACAAAATGTATACTTATTGTTAAAATCTCTATAAAATATCTGATAATTTGATGTGCATATGTCTAATGATCATTTTTGACCTCCAAATGGCTCATTTTTTTACTTTTTCCTCCATATCTCCGAAACCGCTAGAACTACCTTCCTGAAAATTTTATCGATTCTTCATCTTGTTAATACAAGTGAAATGTTTTTTGAATTATTCAAATCGAACGCTCCGTTCTCTTAAAAACTGAGTTACCGTTTTCGGTACTTTTTGCCCCGTATCTTCGGAACGGCCTAGACCTGCCTTCGCCAAAAACTAATCAGCCCGTCTCCTTATCAATACGAATCGAATGTTTTTTGAATTATTCAAATCGGTTGATCCGTGTTCCCGAAATCGTCGACGAAAATTTGTATCCGCACATACATACACACACGTACATACATACATACATACACACACACACACACACACATACACATACATTCATTTTTTCTAAGGTATGCCAAAATATTCAGAAACCTCTGAAACGTAAAGATATATAAACATTTTCATTTTTGATTTTTTTGCGATTACTACAACTTGCCCTACGGGAAGTTAATAAACAAAACACTATGATGCGTTGGAATTAATTATCGAAATGTAAAGAAATTTGTGTAATAAAAATATAACATTATTATTAATATACCATGTATATTATAAGAACTTCTGCAAAGTGGCAAAATATTTTTGATGGCAAAACGGGTCAGCTAGTATATATATATATATATATATATATATATATATATATATATTAGGGTGGTCCTTAAAATGGTTATTTTCGAATTTCCTTGCTCCCAGGGGCTCAAATAATTTCAAATTGATAAAAAACAATTTTCTGAAAGTTTTAGCTCTTAATATTAACGTTTGGATAGAGCGCTATTCAATCAAAGTTTGTATGGAAAGAGCATGGAAAAAATTTTGAAAATTAAAAAAAAATGTTTTAGGTATAACGTAGCGACAAATGAATGTGTTTTATTTATTCATTTGTTCGCTAAATTACATCTAAAAAACATTTTTAAAATTTTTGGAAATTTTTCCATGCTATTTTCATACAAAACTTTGATTGAATTGCGCTCTATCTAAACGTTAATATTAAGAGCTAAAACTTTCAGAGAATTGTTTTTTATCTATTTGGAACCATTTGAGCCCCTGGCAGCAAGGAAATTCGAAAATGACCATTTTAAGGACCGTCCTAATATATATATATATATATATATATATATATATATATATATATATATATATATTATGTTATAAATGTATCCTTTACCACTGTGTCCTTTACTAGAAAGCGAGGCAGGCCTTCGAAAAGAGACACCCAGCTCCGCATACAGAAACAGAAGGAGCAAAAGCGTTTGGACAAATTGCAAGATTCGAATGAAGGTTCACAGAATCAATCGAGCGATGCAGATTCGAGTAACGATGAAGATAAACCTCTGTCCGCTTTCAGAGACATGAAAAACGACGTCAAAACCGAAATTGATGAACTGGCCGACGGAAACTGTACAATGTGCGATAGAGTTATAACCAATTTCGATAAGCTGAGAGTTCATTTGAGGAAACACACAGGTATTAAATGATAAATGTAATTAGTTGTGTGTGGCATTGTGCCTTAAGGCAAATTGCTAGAACTTCTCGTGCCGTAGCGAATTATTCGGGGAATGAAAATAATCAATAATTGATTTAAATGATTTCAAATAGAATGTTTATTATGTTCTAGTGTATATTAGTGTGTGAGTTTACAAGAAATTTTTTGACAATTCTGAAAAAATCGTTTTTCTTATTTTTTTTTTGTGATTTTTTTTTTAATATATTCGATTTTTTTTTTTTGAGATTTTCGAAATATTCTCAAATTTTTGTAAGATCGTTTTTTTTTTTAATCTTGATATTTTATGAAATTTTAACTATAGGTATAAATTTTCTATACATTCCTATGGGTTCTGTACCAATATTTATCCATGAGACGTAGACGCGGCGCTTACGCGCTTCGATATTTCGTCTCTATGCAGTTAAAGCAGTATGATTGCTTTGAAAAAAAAGTTCAGAATTTTCAAAATATGTCAAAATAAAGAGGTTTTTTTGAAGTTTTTTTTCAAATTTGTATTTTCTCAAAAATCTAATTTTTTCGAAGTAATTTTTTTTCAAAAATGTTTATCGTTTTTGATAAAATAATAATTTTTCCAGCAATTTGCCTTAAGGCACGATGCTATGCGCCCCACTAGTTTTTTTTTTTTTTTTGAAAATATGCAAATTACGAAATTTGTTTTTAAAAGCATTTTTTGCACACCGAAATATTCGATTTTTTTGGAAATTTCAAAATATTCTCAAATTTTTGTAAGATCGTTTTTTTTTTAAATATAGATATTTTTTTTAATATTTTGCAAATTTAGATTTTTTTAAAAATGAAAAATGTCGAAATTTTTTTTTTTAAATTTATTTTTTTTTGAAATTTTTGATTTTTTTTTTTGAACTTGTTAAAAAAGCATTTTTTGCAGACCGAAATATTCGTTTTTTTTTTTGAAAATCTCAAAATATTCTCAAATTTTTATAAGATCGATTTTTTTGAAAGTTTGATATTTTTTTAATTTTTTCCAAGTTATTATTTTGTTAAATGATGGAATATTTCGAAAATTTGATTTTTTTGGAACTTTAAATTTGTTTTTTTTTTAATTTTCAAAATTACGAAAAGCATTTTTTGCACACTGTCTACACATGAAAAATCGTTTTTTTTAATTTCTTGAGAACTTGGAAATTCTTGAAAAGATTCGATATTTTTTTTAAAATTTCGAAATATTCTCAAATTTTTATAAGAAAACGTTTTTTTACAAATTTTAATATTTTTTGAAATTTTTTCAAAATGGATTTTTTGGAAATGATAAAAAATTTCGAAAATTTGATTTTTTTTGAAACTTTAATTTTTTTTTTGAAAATTCTCAAAATGACAAATTTTTTGTAAAAGTATTTTTTGCACACCTAGACGGTTTTTTGAATTAATCTAATCGGATGATCCGTTCTCTCAAAAATTGCATGATCATTATTACACCCTTTGCGCTCCATACCTCCGAAACGGCTAGACGTGCCTTTTATAAAAACGCCTTGCGATCGAGTACGAACCGAATATTTTTTCAATCGTACAAATGGGTTATTCCATACTATAGAGGACATTTGTTGGAACCATATAAATTAATTTCAAAATTAAAAATCTTGGTACGGAACCCAAAAAATAGCACAAAACGTGTACACATTATTAAAATCTCTATAATATAACTGATAATTTGATGTGTATATGTCTAATCATTTTTAAGGCACTTTTTTTACTTGTTTTAATTGAGAGTCCATAACCGCTAGACCTGCCTTCCCTAAAATTTAAACTGTTCTTCATTTCGTCAATACAAATAAAATGTTTTTCAAATAGAGAGTCCATAACCGCTAGACCTGCCTTTCCACAAATTTAAACAGATCTTCATTTCGTCAATACAAATAAATCAAAATAATTCAAATCGCACGCTTCGTTCTCTCAAAAACCCAATTACCAATTTTGGCACTTTTTGCTCCATATCTCCGAAACGGCTCGACCTGACTTTGTCAAAAACTAATCAACACGTCTCCTTATCAATATGAATCGAATGTTTTTTGAATAATTGAAATCGGTTGATCAGTGTTCCCGAAATCGTCGACGAAAATTTGTATCCGCACACACACACATGCATTTTTTCTAAGGTATGCCAAAATGTTCAGAAACCTTTGAAACGTAAAGATATGCAAAAAATTTCAATTTCGATTTTTGGACGATTATAATAACTAACCCTGCGGAAAGTTAATAATAGAATTTTGTATCTAAAATTATGTTTATACTTTAAGGTGAGAAATTAGCCTCATGCAAGATTTGCGGCCAGAACTTCATTCAGAAATCTCAATTAAAACGACATTTAATGACGCATTGCAATATCAATACTTATCGAGGTGTCGAACTGAGACTTCGGCCTGATTTGTTCAAAGGAGACTTTTCTGAAGACGGCAAGGAGGAACCGATATTGGATACGGACACCCAGGAAACTTTGGTTGACAGAATTATGAGATATCTAACTGAGAAAGGCGCAGAGGGTGTTAATAGATTTATTCAGGTAATTACATTTTTAACCTTTCGACTCGGATGTCGCCGGATTAATTCACTATTACATTAATTTATCGATTAATTTATTGATTTTAAAAATAAATATGTAACAAAATTAATTTATTAGCTCATGAACCCCATAATTCTTTGAGATATCAATTTTACTGGAGATATATATATATATATATATATATATATATATATATTATTTATATTATAATGGTAATAATTTTGGTAACATATTAAATTTAATTTTTGTTTCCTTGTCTATCAGGATTTATTATTTTGTAAGCCATTATAATAGATATTATAATAGAAGAAATTATTTTTTAAGCAATATAGTATGGTTTTGAGCGCATTTTTTTTAATTTTTAAAATTTTCTATTTTATTATCATAACAACTATATTTAAAACCAATATTACCACATTTTGAAAAAATCCGATACAAAAAAAAATTCCGAGTTGAGAGATGAGCACAATAATATTCCGAGCACAGCGTATCGACTAGCAGTCCGACTCCCGAGTGGAAAGTGTTAAACTAGTGGTGTATGGCATCGTGCCTTAAGGCAAATTGCTGGAACTTCCCGTACCGTAATGAAATATTCGAAAAATTTTAAACGTTTTCAAATACATTATTACAAATACTGTAACTTTCATTATTTTTGCTATCTTGTTTGTTATATCTGAGCAAATCAAATGTAAATCATAAATCAATCAATTTATCTCCAGAACATTAACAATCGTCATTTCATTTCGAATTCAATTTAAAAAAAAAAGAAAATAGTTGAAAAAAAACGTTTATTTTAAATTTTTTGAGAATTTGGAAATTTTTAAAAACGTTCGTTTTGTTTTGAAAATTTCGAAATATTCTCAAATTTTTGTAAAAAATCGTTTTTTTTTTAATTTTGATATTTTTTTTAATTTTTTCAAATTTAGATATTGTTTTTGAAAATGATAAAAAATTTCATTTCTTTGACTTTTTTGAATATTTTGCATTATTTTTTTATGAGAATGTTGCATTATTTTTTTTTTAAATGTTGCATATTTTTTTTTGAAAATTTTCAAAATTACGTTATTTCATTTCGAATTCAATTTAAAAAAAAAATAGTTGAAAAATACCGTTTATTTTAAATTTTTTGAGAATTGGGAAATTTTTGAAAACGTTCGTTTTTTTTTGAAAATTTCGAAATATTCTCAAATTTTAGTAAAAAATCGATTTTTTTTTAAATTTTGATATTTTTTTGAATTTTTTTAAATTTAGATATTGTTTTTGAAAATGATAAAAAATTTCATTTCTTTGACTTTTTTGAATATTTTGCATTATTTTTTTATGAGAATGTTGCATTATTTTTTTTTTAAATGTTGCATTTTTTTTTTTGAAAATTTTCAAAATTAAATTTTCTGCAAAAGCACTTTTTGTACACCGTGTGCACAGCAAAAAGTTTTGTTTGGAGTTTTTTTAACTTTTTGAGAATTAGGAAATTCTTGAAAACATTCGATTTTTTTTAAATTCTCAAAAAGAAAAAATACACGAAATTAAAAAAGTGCTTCCGTACACAGTCACAGTCTAAACGCATTTGCAAATAATTCTGTGCGACATTTTCAATTATACTGTGCTTAGCTTGGCGGCATTTTCACATTTTTCAATGAACAGTCTAAACGCACTTGGGTATACATTTGCACCAGAGTGGCGCTTAGACTGTGCTTAGCCTGAGTAATTTTTTGAATTTTTAATCCAAAATTACAAAAATATTTTTTGAAAAAAAAAATTAGAAACAAATTTTTTTTTCCAAAAGCAATAATTTTGTTGAAACAAGCAGAAAGTTCTTTGAATCATTTAAATCGGACGCTTAGTTCTTTCAAAAACTGTTATTTTTTAACATTTAGCTCTGTATCTCCGAAACCGCTGGGTCTACCTTTGCCAAAAACTAATAACCCCTTCTCCCAATCATTACTAATTGAATGTTTTTTAAATCATACAAATCGGATGAGCCGTTCTCTCAAAAACTCGATTTCTATTTTCTGCACTCTTTGCTCCTTATCTCCGTAACGGCTGGACCTGCCTTTGCCAAAAACTAACCAGCACATCTCCTATAATAGAAAAAATGCGGACATACAAAACACACACACACACACACACATCCATTTAGTTTCTGAGGTATGCCCCTTAAAAATGTTCAGAAACCTTCAAAACGACGAGAAATGCAAAAATTTTCATTTTCGATTTTCGGCCCATTACTATAACTACCCTACGGGAAGTTAATAAATGTCGAGGTAAATATTTAAAACATACATCTATTATTACCCCAGGTTACAACGACAAGTGCCATCGACATGTTCACCGAATCGGAGTCGTCGGATAGCGAAAATGAGCAGAATGGTTCCACAACTTTAGCGAGTAAAAGAAGATATCAATATTGTTCGGTGTGCAATGCAGCCTTTTTGAGAAGCGACCATATAATAAGGCACATGTCGACGCACGATCCGAGCCAATTCGATGATAAATGCGAGGTCTGCGAAAGGGTCTTTCCGAATAGGGACCTTTTGGAGAGACACAGGAGGTCGCAGTGCGAAAACGTCGAAAAGCAACATAAATGTAAAGTAAGTGAAAAATGGATAATAGATAAGTGCCATGGTAATAGAAAATGTATTAGTGCAGTAAACGGAGCGTTTTGGGTCTGATTTTTTTTTACTGTGCTCCGAATTGCATGAAATTTTGGAATTAGGTTCATCTTACCCTCAAGTTCAAAAGTGAAAACAATTCGGGTTTGGGGGATGACACGCTCAATCGTGTAATTACATTTTTTCAAAATAACGTCGGAAATCGATAGAAGAAATAATTTTAAGAAAAAAATGTCTCATAGTTTTTCAAAAAAAAACTAATATTAGGTTGTCAAATATCTCCCTTCCGCTTTTTTGCTCTTGGTTTATAATACAAAAAGGCGGAAGGGAGATATTTGACAACCTTATACTTTTCAAGTTACTGGCCACTAAAAATTCATATATTTTTGGCGTTTTTCTTCATTTTTTTTGCAAATATCTCCTAAAATATGTATTTTCACGAAACTCATGTAATGAACAAAATAATGTCAATAAAAATCTTAATAAATCGGTATTACATAAAGTGTTCTAGGAAAAATATGAAGCAAGATTTGAAATAGCAAATTCGTTTTTTATTTTGTTCAAGATTTATTTGTTGTATTTAAAGCCATCTAGTGTCGAGGTTTTACATTTTATGCATTTCGGTGAAATTGGGTTTTATAGTGCTCAACATAAGCTTTAAAATGTGTGCTGTTACAAGCTTTTTTCGTGTAAAATGAGTGAGCTATCAAGCAAATAAGAAGCATATACGATGCTTTTTTCTCTTAAATCATATGGTTTAATGAGCGCCATTTCCACCAGAATTAACGTAATTCACATTCCATCTAGAATTCACTTCATTATAGACCTCTTGATGGATTCTAGCAGATTCACTATTTTAGTACAAACTATTTTCAGAAAACTCACGATTTTATAAAAACTGTTTTTTCCGATTGTTTTAAAAATCGAACTTATTTTCATTATATCTCAAGAAGAATAAAAGATATGTATAGAAGCATATAGATAAAAATCAAATGGATCTTTCTGACTTATAATTGTGTTTTATTATTTTTCTTTCACACAAAAATTGACAGAGTTATGATTGTTTAAATAGTGCGCGGCTGCGCAATCAGATTCTCTCTCGAGCCCTTCAACCCTTTACCGTTTCAAAATGAGAGGAGTTACGAAAAAAATTATGATGAAATTGCAGCCCTTTTATTAACCTTTCAAATGGTATATTACAAATTGTGATGGAGTCGAAATTAAAGGAGTTATGACCCGAAAACTGATCGCATTTATGTCGAATTGTGTCCATATTTCGAGCAATGTATAAGTAAGCAGTATTTGGTGCCCAAAACTATTGACTCTCTATATATATATATATATATATATATATATATATATATATATGTATATATATGTATATATATATATATATATTATATATATATATATATATATATATATATATATATGGTAATGTGTCTTTATAATAAAAACGTATATTTTGAAATAATATGAATTAATTGGTTTAGCGTATATCTCGTGAGCCAACCACAAAATTTTGTATTATTATGTTGATCATGAAATATATTCATCTTCATCTTATAGTAAAGTATCTTATGGCTGAAAGGTCCACGTGTTAAATAAATTGATATAGTTTTATATCACTATAGTCAAATGAAAGTTTAATAATTGCAGTAACAAGAACAACAAATATACGAGTTTAGACAAAATTATACTGGGTACTAGTGTTATATTAACTGTTTTTATTTAAGGGTAATTTTAAAAGTTGAACAAATTATGGATATGGTAATTATTTTCGAGAAATTGAAATAACGATTATATCATTTTGAATTTCTTATTTTTTTTTTCAATTTTATAATAATTTTTTCAAACAATTTTTTTATCAAGGGGTTGTTTTTAAGGGTCTAAAAAGGGTTAAAAATTTGATAATCAAGATAGAAAACAAAATATTATTTACTTTATACGTAATTATTATTATATCAAACAGAAATTTTTTTTAAGTGTTTTTCTGCAATTTAGAGGTTGTTTGAAGGGTTTTAAGGTTTTCACGGGGTTGTAAATGATTTTATTGCAAGGTAAATGTATTAAAAAATATTTTTCAATTACACCCTTTAATATTAAAAACGTTTTCTAGCGATAATACGGCTTAATGACCACTTATTTATTAAAGGGTCCTAACCCCCCAAACGGGTGGTGGCGGAACCCGAATTGTTTTCACTTTTGAACTTGAGGTTAAGATGAACCTAATTCCAAAATTTCATGCAATTCGGAGCACAGTAAAAAAATTCCGAGGTTATACCCTTTTTTCCTCTCCGTTTACTGCACTATATGTCACCTTTATAACACGTTTTAATCAACGATCCAAGTACATATTAATTAATTAAAATCTATAGAATTAAATACTAATATATCTATCTACTTATTTTTTCAAGGTTTGTAAAGTTAAATTCACAGAAGAGTCCACATTACGCAAACACGAAACAAAACACACAAATCCACCACCCAGTGTATCATTTGCCAGCCACATCGACTCGAATAAATCGAATTCCTCGAAATTCAAAGAGCCCCGAGAGAAATCATTTCAGTGTTCAATGTGTGAGAAAGCTTTCTATCGAGCTGAACATCTCGACAGGCATACAAAAACACATATAATCACAGAGAAGAAATTTGAATGTAACATATGCCAAAAGAAGTTTAACAGAAAAGATAACTTGAGGTGAGAATAAAATATTTATCTTTTAATTATTAGAATTGATTTATAATAGTACGATTGATTTTATTTTCAGATCCCATCAACGTGTTCATAAAGAGGAGAAGGAGGATTGTGATAAACATCTGTGTGTTTATTGTGGTCGAAGTTTCTCAAATTCATCAAATCTTATTGTTCACATGAGACGACACACGGGAGAAAAACCTTATAGATGTGATATTTGTAATAAAGGTAATTGGACCCTTTATTTAAAATTATTGTTTTTAATCAATTTTAATAACTGGTTTCGTTATAAAGTTTTGAACTGGTTTAATGCATATATGGGTCATTCTTTTTAGTCCAGTCATTTGGTCATTTTGCCGGTACAGTACTCCGGGAAATCTGAAAATTGCTAATTTTATAGATTTCGAGGTGCTCTTCACGAAAATCAACTTTGCCACCTCAAATTTAAAAGGCAAGTTGCCGCCATATTGGAAAAATGGCGTCAAACAACAGCTTTTTCAAAATATCTCCTTTCTGGCTGATTTTACGATAAAAGTATCTATGTACGAATGAAACTAGATAAAATTTCCTACAATTCTTTAGAAAACCGTTTTTTTTTTTAAAATTGATAGATAGAGAATACGGCCGCCTCAAAGTCTTTGCTGCTCTCGCCGTAGTATCAAATCTCTCCGTATATGACAGCACTTTGAACTTGACCGCATTCTTTCTAATAAATAAATATTTTCAATGTTAAATTAAGCGAATAAGATCTAGAAATAAAATAATTCAAATATTTTTCTGTTTTTTTGCTGATTCTTTAACACTTCAAGCTACTTACTTATAGCTACTTTGCAATTGAAGTGTTAAAAAATCAGCAAAAGAAAAAAAAATATTTGAATTATTTTATTTCTAGATCTTATTCGCTTAATTTAACATTGAACTATCAATTTTACAAAAAAAAAACGGTTTTCTAATGAATGGTAAGAAATTTTATCTAGTTTAATTCGTACATAGATATTTCTATCGTAGAATAAGCCAGAAAGGAGATATTTTAAACAAGCTGTTTTTTGACGCCATTTTTCCAATATGGCGGCAACTTGCCGTTCAAATTTGAGGTGGCAAAGTTGATTTTCGTGAAGAGCACCTCGAAATCTATAAGATTACCTATTTTCAGAATTCCCGGAGTACTGTACCGGCAGCAGCCTTTTTTTGCACCAAATGACTGGACTATTTACAAATCGTACGGATTTTCGAAGAAATAAAATGTCACATTTTAGAATTGTCTGAAATTTTTTTTACAGATATTATACATAAAATCATTCGACACGTATTTTAGGATTTTGCTGAAAAAAAATTTATTTACGTAAATATTTACGATTGAAATATGTATTTTTTGCTCAATTTCTATGAACATCATCTGCGGTAAATTAATTATCTCCGGATGTGCTGATCGGATCAGTATTATTATTTTTTTTATTACACTCATATTGAAGTGAACTTTGTAATGATTAAAAATTTTTTTTTTGTTTTTGCAATTTTCTTAACAACAACAACCCTTAAATATTTACAAAGGTTTTACTCAGCCTTATCCCAATTTGAATCATTTCAAAAAAATAACATATTTTTTCTTTTTTTCTCTGCAACAAAATTCTTTTTACAATTTGTTGAAAACTTTGTTACATCGAAAGGAACTAAATATTTTCAAGCGCGAGCCGCGCTTTTCACGTCGGGGACCTCAAAGATTTGTACTCATTTGTCACTTTCGAATGACAATCTTATTGTTTTTCGGTTGAAAAATATTTTATAATTTCGCTTCTGGCGAAAAATGAATATAAGTCGAAAAAAAACATTAGGGGAGAGCGGAGCTTAAAAGTTTGTGAGTAAAAAGATCCACTGCCAATATCTCAAAAACAAGTAAAGATAGAAATTTTTTAACAACAATATTTGAAAGTAGAGGGATATTTAAGTTGGCTTCAACCCTTTCTGATATAAAATCTATTAAAGCTTACATGTGGGTGGGATAAATAGAGTCTAGTATTTAGACTAGTATTTAATTTAATTTGTAAATTCGTTTTTTTTTTAATATATATTTTAAGGTTTTCCACGATCATCAGATCTACAGTGCCATAGAAGAACCCATACAGGAGAAAAGCCTTGTTTGTGTACCATATGCGGAAAAGGTAAATTTAATTATATATGTATTGATTGTTTCTTTACCGAACAGTAAATCCAATAATAAAAAACATTTTATTTTTTTGAAGATGTTTAATAACGACGTTTCGGAACTAGATACATTCCATCATCACGTTTTTTCTGTCAAAGACAATGTTTTTTTTTTAAACTATTGACTAACATTAATTAATGATGATTATTACAGATTATTTAGAAAAATTATAAAGGAATGGATTAAAATCTATAAATCTAATTAAAAATCCATATTTATATATATATATGTATATATATATATTATTTATTTTTTCAGGTTTTTCGAGGTCCAACAAATTGGTGAGACACATGCGCATTCACACAGGACAGCGGCCTTACAAATGTACATTCTGCGATAGAGCCTTCACGCAGAGCAACGACTTGACTCTGCACATTCGAAGACACACCGGTGACAAGCCTTATGTCTGTGGCATCTGTGGGGATCGATTCATACAGGTAATTGATAATAATGATATTATATATATATATATATATATATATATATATATAATATATATATATATATATATATATATATATATATTGTTATTCAATTCTCTTTTAGGGTACTGCTCTACAAGCTCACAGAAGAATGCAGGGCCATTTCGAAGAACTGAATCAGCCCACTCCGTTTGCATCAATAAGCTGTAATAATCCTAACAGGTACTTAAATGTTCATTGAAAATCGCAATTTTTAGTTTTTAGTAAAAGCAAAAACGTGCCTAAAGGTAATGTCCCACTTAGACCAAGTTATTTAAATAGTTTATAATAGTGTTTTATGTTACTCCCATATTAGTGTTTTATGAATTTAAAACACATATTAGATTTATTTAAGGGGCACAACTAGTGTAGCCGCCTAAAAAAAAGTGATATCTGGGAATTTATATTTAAAAAAATACTTTATCAATCATTTCAAAATTTTAAGAATAGATTTACACATGTTTTAAGAATACATAGTAAAAGTTTTGAAGAACAAAATTAAATATTTTTTAAGTTATCGTCGATCTCCAACGGCGCGACATAAAAAAGGCCCTTCACTGCTGCAGTGATTCCGGCCTTCTACGTGGATGGAATTTAAAAAAAAAAAAACTCGTTAAACTAGATAATATTGTCTGTAAAATGAACTACGATAAAGAAAAAATCAAAAATTGACAAAATGGAGGCGTTTTAAAAAAAAATTCAATTTTTACCCAAAATTTTGGTCGTTTTTGGACTGCCAAAATTCGATTTTTGATTCGATCAAAAAATCGGTAGTTCATTTCACGGAGAACTATATATAGAACATGTAAAAAAAACTTGATAGTGATCGGATCATTTGTTTTTGAGTAATCGCTGCGGCAAATTCGGAAAATGCTGTTTCGAGAAAAACGCGTTTAAAGATTAAATGATCGTTATACTATATACTACATATATACTCTTTAAATGGCTGTGACTCAAACTATTCAAGATATCGATTTAAATTTTTGGTATGTTATTTTTAAAGGTATAACCTATCAAAGTGTGGAAAAATTGAAAATTCGATTTTTTGAAAATTTTGCACTAGGTGTGCCCCTTAAGTTGATTATGTATACATATCGGTAGGTTCAGGCTAATTGCCACTCACTCGTAATATTGTTCGAGTTATAATTATTATGACTTCCTCAGGTACAACAATCCAAATCGAGTTAATAGGATAGGAGGTGCACCACCTAGTCCTCCTCCGATTATACCGCCACGTATTATAGTAACATCTGCAAATAACACAGGAAATAATACACAAGGTAAGAACTCTATTCAAACTAGCTGTAAGTGGAATTCTGTCTTAAGGCAATTAAGGCATCCTGTCTTAAGGCAAATTGCTGGAACTTCCCGTACCAAATATTATTATTTTTTTAAAAACTATTAACATTTTTGAAAAAATTTTACTTCGAAAAAATAAGATTTGTGAGAAACTATAAATTGGACAAAAAATTACTTTTTCTTGAAAAAAAAAATTTAATTTTTTTTTTTTTATCTATTTTTTTGAAAAAAAAAATGTTTTCTGTATTTTGACATATTTTGCAAGATTTAACAAGATATTTTTCAAAGCAATCGCACTGCTTTAATTGCATATAGAAGAAATATCAAAGCGCGTAAGCGCCGCCTCGCCGTCTAACGCGTAAACATTGGTACGGAACCCCGTAGGAATGTAAACCAAATTTATACTTATTGTTAAAATCTCTATAAAATATCTGATAATTTGATGTGCATATGTCTAATGATGATGTCTTTATGAAAATTTGATCGGTTCTTCATCTTGTCAATACAAGTAAAATGTTTTTTGAATTATTAAAATCGGACGCTCCGTTCTCTTGAAAACTGAGTTACCGTTTTCGGCACTTTTTGCCCCGTATTTTCGGAACGGCTAGACCTGCCTTCGCCAAAAACTAATCAGCACGTCTCCTTATCAATACGAATCGAATGTTTTTTGAATTATTCAAATCGGTTGATCGGTGTTCCCGAAATCGTCGACGAAAATTTGTATCCGCACATACATACACACACGCACACACACACACACACACACACACACATACATCCATTTTTTCTAAGGTATGCCAAAATATTCAGAAACCTTTGAAACATCGAGAAATGCAAAAATTTTCATTTTCGATTTTTTTGCGATTACTATAACTTGCCCTACGGGAAGTTAAAAAGTGTTTTTAAGGTTGAAGTAAAACTTTTTTGCTATCATACGAAATGGCATTTTAGTTAAAAATAAATACATCCTATAACAAGTTTGAATAATGTTTATTAGTAATATGGTAACACTCGTGATGCACACATTTATTAGTGTCGTCAAGCATTATACACATTTATATAATGATAAATTATAAATTATATATTTTTAATAGCATTAAAAATATGTATAATATTCAAAAACAATAATGTAATCAAAGTCATACTTCAAATATGACATGATCGGTTTGTCATTGTAATTAGCATTTAGGACTTGGACCTTCATTAGAGAAATGAAGTAATTCATGATTAATAAATTTTATAATATTCGTTCACACAGTGGATTATGTTAAACAACGCCTAGACAAAATTTGTTTTTGCAACTTCACTCATCATGTAATAATCGTGTTTGAAGAACTTCATGTAATTAAAATTAACATACATTCATTGACTGTTTGGGTTTTTTTTTTTTTACTTTTTCACTGGCGATATAATCTCATTCTTTGAACAGCTGTAATATCTGTCTTGCCTAAAGAATATTATCCATTTCAATAACTTCAAATATTTATAGGAACTACGAATAATATAGAAACAATTTCTAATCAATAAACTTACGTTTAGTACACGGCCCAATTGTTGAATTACCCATTATTTTTAAATGATTCAAAGAACTTTCTGCTTGTTTCAACAAAATAATTGCTTTGGGATTTTTTTTTTTAAATAAAATTTTGTAATTTTGGATTAAAAATTCAAAAAATTACCCAGGCTAAGCACAGTCTAAGCGCCACTCTGGTACAAATGTTTCCGCAAGTGCGTTTAGACTGTTTATGTATTGGAGCACTTTTCTAATTTTGTGAAAACTATTGAAAAATGTGAAAATGTCGCCAAGCTAAGCACAGTACAAGTTAAAATGTCGCACAGAATTATTTGCAAATGCGTTTAGACTGTGACTATACGGGAGCACTTTTTCAATTTTGTGCAAAATTAGGCAACTATTTTTTTGAAATTGAATTTGAAATGACGATTGTTAATGTTCTGTAGATAAATTGTGTCCATAATTATGAAAGTGGTCTAAGTCATATATTTCTTGTTTCGAGATATTTAATGATTTGCATTTGAATAAATTAAAAAATATTTTTACATTATGCGACATTTTAATTTTCAATTTTATTAGTCTTAGTTAATGGAAATTTATTATGAATATGAAATTTTGTGTGAATATCATACGATAATATTGTTTTTCAACTTTGAATTGACTTAGACCATTTTCAAAATTAACTGAATGTCCTATAAATGACTTAAAGCAATAAAGAACTTTGAGTTTTATTTGAAACAATAATTTTATTGAAATAATTCGTGAGCATTTATTAATTATTTTTAAACGGTAATCCATTTTTATCATTATTTCGAGTATTTAAGATTCTTAAAATGTTCCTGAAAAACTGGAGGGATGTACGGTAGTAAACTCATAATATCTTTGTTTTTCTTCCGATACTGATCTAATGCTGGTGTATAATGGAAGTAATTTAATATTTCCGTATATTTTTGGTCTTTCTCTTTTAGGTGAAATATCCAAAACGTAAATTGTACAATCATCTAAAGAAGTTTTATAAAACATAAAAAATTTTATAAGGTTCATTTTTCAAGAATCTCATCCATTGAATTTGTAGCCAAGAGACAGATTCGCCCGCGGTATTTTTTACTATTCTTGTTATTGTATCTTCTAATGATTTCGTTGAAATAAAATCCGGCTGCGACATTCGCTTTATCGAAAATGTATTGCTTCTTCTGCACTTTTCTATCAATGCATAATAATGCTCAGGGTTGTATAAGTAATTTGCTTTTCACGATTATTCGGTAGATATATGATTTACATTTTATTATCCTTTCAGCTTTGCCTACAACCGCATCGTCAAAAATCACCCCCAACGTCTCAACAACGACGTCCGGCTTGAATCTCAGTTCATCTTCGACGTCCACCTCTTCGGCATCTGCACATCAGCAGCAGGCTGTCACCAATCAAAGTGCTGGGGCACAGCCTCTGATGGCACCAACCATCATTCGAATGCAATGAACAGCCTGAATTCGAATCACCATCATGCTGCCAGGGGACTGTTGAGCGGATTTCCTAGCAGCTCCTACATGCCGAATGGGAGCATGGTGGCGCCCTTTTTGGCAAACGCTAACGGACCTGCAGGTGAATAGGATGGATAGAAATAGATACGCGTTTTTGCTAAAAATTTTGTTTTTCGTGTATCCCAATATGTATCGAACCCTTATTATTATTATTTTTATTTTTTTCCCCAAAAAATCAAAGGCATGGTTTTTCCCTCATTTTTTTCCTCACATTTTTGTCCCCAATTTTTTCCCCGAATTTTTTTTCCAAAAATTTTTTTATCAAAATATCAAAGGCCAAAGTCCATAGTTTCTCCTCAAAATTTTTTTATCGATATTTTTTCTCCACATTTTTTGGCCCCAATTTTTATCAAATATTCAAAGATATTTATCCATATATTATTTCTAAATTTTTTTCCCCAAATTTTTTTCCCAAAAAATCAAAGACTATAGTTATGTTTTTTTTTTCAAGACTATAGTCCATAGTTTTTCCCCAAATTTTTTTCCTCACATTTTTCTCCCCAATTTTTTTCCAAAAATTTTTGTCACAAAATATCAAAGATTATTGTCCATAGTTTCTCCCCAAAATTTTTTTATCGAATTTTTTTCCCCAAAATTTTTTTTCTCCAAAATTTTTTTCCCACATTTCTTGACCCCAATTTTTATCAAATATTCAAAGATATCTATCCATAGATTATTTCTAAATTTTTTCCCCAAATTTTTTTCCCAAAAAATCAAAGACTTGACAAGACAAAGACAAAGGTCATGGTTTTTTCCAAAAAATCAAAGACTATAGTCCATAGTTTTTCCCCAAAATTTTTTTCCCCAATTTTTTTTTCCACATTTTTTGTACCCAATTTTTATCAAGATATCTATAGACGGGTGGTTTTTAAATTTTTTCTCCAAATTTTTTTCCCAAAAAATCAAAGGCCCGAAACCGCTGGGCCTACCTTTGCCAAAAACTAATAACCACTTTTCCCCGTCATTACGAACTGAATGTTTTTTTTTGAGTCGGTTTCGGAGATACAGAGCTAAATGTTAAAAAAATAGCAGTTTTTGAGAGAACTAAGCGTCCGATTTAAATGATTCAAAGAACTTTCTGCTTGTTTTAACAAAATAATTGCTTTTGGAAAAAAAAATTGTTTCTAATATTTTTTTCAAAAAATATTTTTGTAATTTTGTATTAAAAATTCAAAAAATTGCCCAGGCTAAGCACAGTCTAAGCGCCACTCTGGTACAAATGTTTACCCAAGTGCGTTTAGACTGTTTATGTACTGGATCACTTTTCCAATTTTGTGAAAACTATTGAAAAATGTGAAAATGCCGCCAAGCTAAGCACAGTATAAGTGAAAATGTCGCACACAATTATTTGCAAATGCGTTTAGACTGTGACTATAAGGGAGCACTTTTACAATTTTGTGTAAATTAGGCAACTTTTTTTTTTTTTTTTTTTTGAAATTGAATTCGAAATGAAATGACGATTCTGGATATAAATTGATTTATGATTTACATTTGATTTGCTCAGATATAACAAGATAACAAAAATAATGAAAGTTACAGTATTTGTAATAATATATTTGAAAACGCTTAAAATTCCTCGAATATTTCATTACCGTACGGGAAGTTGCAGCAAGTTGGCTCAAGGCACGATGGCACACACCACTAGTTCTTTATTTTATCATCTTGGAACGTATCTCCACAATTCCATATACAGTAGAACTCCAATTATCCGAACTCCAAACATCCGAACTCGGACTATCCGAATCGCCGATTATCCGAATCACTTTCGGAAAAAAAATTGTCCAAAAAAAGTCTAAGTGCGCTATTATTCTTCCACCAGCAAAGGCAGTGTAGGCACATTGTTTGTTTTGATTTGACGGAGATGTTTACAAAACAATGATTTTTATTTCTAAACTTGTACATAAGTACATTTTATTTATATTTAAAACATGTGAAAATGTCATGTTTCTTTCATTTAATTCAATAAAAAAAATAGTGCAATATCAAAACGTAACTTTTTTCTCTCCAATGGCATTTTTTTTTAAAAAAACTCGGAATATTTGATTATCCGAATCGGTCCCGGTCCCCATTAATTCGGATAATTGGAGTTCTACTGTAAAATGCCATCTAGTATTTCCGCATTCTTCATTCGCTTCAAAGATTTTTTTTTCTTCCAGGTGTGCTGATGCAAAATCTTGATGTCACAAATGCTTTGGGAAATATTCCTCTGTTTTCGATATCACAGTACAATCAAGGTTATAACTAAGTATGTATATTTATATATTTAGTCGTACGACTGGCAAGCCGAATGCAAATAAGCGTGTAAGGTAACTAATGTTAATCTAATTATATATTCTAGTTTTATATTATGAGCCTATATTTATAATTGAGTTAAGATTAAAAACATTTGAGAATTGTGATTGTAAATCAATTGCAAAAATATAAGTTAAAAAAAGCCTTTTGAATTATGATAAGGACACACTTTCACATTCTACTTATGTATACAACATTATATATATATATATATATATATATATATATATATAATATGTAAGTAAGCATGTATAAAAAAAATGCATAGATTTAAGAAAAAATATATTTTGATCTTATGTATAGATAGATTATTATATAAATTGTACAAATGATTTTAAATATAAAAGTATATAAATCGTAAATCTTAAATACAATCTCTCTATTTCATTATACATGTAGATCTACAATTTTTAACTTGCCGTAGGGCAAGTTATAGTAATCGCAAAAAAATTGAAAATGAACATTTTTATATATCTTTACGTTTCAAAACCTTCTGAACATATAGGCATACCTTACAAAAAATGGATATATGTGTGTGTGCGGATACAAATTGTCGACGATTTCGGGAACACGGATCAAACGATTTGAATAATTCGAAAAACATTCGATTCGTATTGATAAGGAGACGTGCTGATTAGTTTTTGGCAAAGGCAAGCCTAGCCGTTCCGAAGATATGGGACAAAACGTGCCAAAACGGTAAGTCAGTTTTTAAGAGAACGGAGCGTCCGATTTGAATAATTCAAAAAACATTTTACTTGTATTATAAACAAGATGAAGAACTGATCAAATTTTCATGAAGGCAGGTCCAGCGGTTTCGGAGATCTAGTAAAAAAAAGTAAAAAAAAATACCCTGTGGCGGTCAAAAATGATCATTAGACATATGCCCATCAAAATATCAGATGTTTTATAGAGATTTTAATAATGTGTATCAATTTTGTTTACATTTCTATGGTTTTGACGAAAAATTTAATTAACCATGTGTATTCATTTTTATCCTGATTCTTATTAAAAACTAAACAACAGTGCACGAAAAAAAAACTTTTTGCCCTCGACTTTAAAATACTATCTTTAACAAATACCAGACTTACTTGTTTAGGGAGAGTCCTTTAATCACGTTAGGTTTTTAGTGGAAGGGGGGGGGGGTAATTTTTGACAAAAAATTTAATTAACCCTGTGTATTTATTTTTACCCTGATTTTTTTAAAAACTAACCAAAAGTGCATGAAAAAAATTCTTTTTGCACTATACTTTAAAATAGTATCTTTAACAAATACCATACTTACGTGGTATTTACATGAGTCCATTAATCACGTGAGGTTTTCAGTAGGAGAGGGGTGGGGGTTTGGTTTGACAAAAAATTTAATTAACCATATGTATTTATTTTTACTCAGATTTTATAACTAACCAACAGTGCACGAAAAAAAAACCTTTTTGTCCTCTGCTTTAAAATAGTATTTTTAACAAATACCATATTTACTTGTTTAGGGAGAGTCCATTAATCACGTGAGGTTCCACTGGAAATTTAGTGTTATTTTTAAGAGTGTACTGCAAATTGTGACGCACTGTCGTTAATGATTTTTACTTCAATTTTATAAATATCATCGTTGTTTATTATGTTTGAGTTTTGGTGCAATTTCTGTCCAGCCATGTGTTGCCAGCCAGCATCGACTTTGACAACAGGCCATGTATTTAATCGCGTGAGTATACATACGTCTGGATTGAGTGAAAAAAATTGTTTTTCCCAAAATTCTTTTGTCCAAAATTTTTTTAACCAAGTACTTTTTTTCAAAAATTTTTTTTACCAAAATTTTTTTTCTCAAAATTTTTAGGACCAAAATTTTTTGACCAAAATTTTTTGGACCAAAATTTTTTGGATCAAAATTTTTTTAACCAAGAATTTTTTTTCAAAAATTTTTTTGACCAAAATTTTAGGACCAAAATTTTTTTCCAAAAAATTTTTTGACCAAAAATTTTTTTTCCAAATTTTTTTGACCAAAATTTTTTTGACCAAGAATTTTTTTGACCAAAAATTTTTTTCTCAATATTTTTTTGAAAGTTGAATTTTATATGTATTGACATTTTTGTTTTCAATATTTATTCATATCAAATCAATCAATCAGTCCTTAATTGTAATTAAAAACGTCAAATTCTATAATATTTATCTTAATTTATCATAACTATCATTCATATATTTCAAGAGTAGTATTTGCGCATAAAATGAATGGCACAACATTAAAAGTAGAATCATTCCAACAATCGATGTATAAATTTATATATAATATTTTTTTTTTTTTTATTTTCAATAATTATTACAACTGTTAAATTATTAACATCTAGTAATATATATAATAAATAATAACAAATTTAAATAAATAAAAGTGCAAAGGATAAAATCTACATGAAAATAATATCCGTAATATGATTTGATATAAAATATAAGCAAATAATAATAAAAATAAAATTAATAAATAATATAAATAAAATTTCTGAATAATAAAAGAATACTAGAAAAATAATAAAATATAGCACAATCACAATAATAGAAATAGTAAGATAATAATAATAATAATAATGATAGCGTTTACAAATTTATAAGATCGTTGGGAATTTTTCGTTTTAGCCTTGTTGGACGCGCTTCTGAGAATACTTTGTGTGCCAAGTAATTTGGGTGTTCGTCTATTCTTTTTTTTTGTAGTTGTTTTTTTTTTGTTGAATTTCATCATTTACTGTCATCATGTTGCTGTCCTGGTGAATCAACCAGTTAGGAACATACCTAGGTGCGTTACTGGCAGCAGGGGGCTGTCAGTTTTGTGTGTGGCATGTTGCATGTTGCATGGTAAGTGTGAGCGAGTGAGTGAGAAGCGTTCGTGTTCGTCGACTTTGGAAGACCGGGTCCAGAGTCGACTAGCGACCGCAGCGTGAAATGGGCGATCGTGGCATATGGCCGGACTTTGGAAAACCGGATTTCAAAGTCTTTGTCGATCGCAGAGTGAATCCTCCCCCTCGTGGCTGACACCTTATCGCGGTGAGGGGGTCCAGTTGGACGATAACCGTCCAATTGCCAAGAGCAGCCGTCTACTTTAGCACTTTTGTATACTAGTTATACTGTTATAGTGCCCATAATTATGAAAGTGGTCTAAGTCATATATTTCTTGTTTTGAGATATTTAATGATTTGCATTTGAATAAATTGAAAAATATTTTTACACTATGCGACATTTTAATTTTTAATGTTATTAGTCTTAATTAATGGAAATTTATTATGAATATGAAATTTTGTGTGAATTTCATACGATAATATTGTTTTTAAAGTTTGAATTGACTTAGACCATTTTCAAAATTAACTGAATGCCCTATAAATGACTTAAAGCAATAAAGAACTTTGAGTTTTATTTGAAACAATAATTTTATTGAAATAATTCGTGAGCATTTATTAATTATTTTTAAACGGTAATCCATTTTTATCATTATTTCGAGTATTTAGGATATCGGTCCAATATTGGTCAATATCGGTCCAATATTGGTCAATATCGGTCCAATATTGGTCAATATCGGTCCAATATTGGTCAATATCGGTCCAATATTGGTCAATATCGGTGTAATATAAAAAAATTTTTTGGACCAACATTTTTTTGGCCCAAATTTTTTTGACCAAAATTTGTTTGACCATTTTTTTTCCGAAAAATTTTTTGACTAAAATTTTTTTCCGAAATTTTTTTTCCGAAAAATTTTTTTTGACCAAAAATTTTGACTAAAATTTTTTGGACCAAAATTTTTTTCTTAAAATTTTTTTGACCAAAATTTTTTTGCCCAAAATTTTTTTGCCCAATATCGGTCCAGTATTGGTCAATATCGGTC